GCTGCAACGGCAAATTCAGACTCCTCAATTCCAAATAGAAAAGATCTTTATTCATTTTGAAACTCATGCAATTCTTTAAGGCAACATTACGAACCGAACTTCTCAAAACAGAGATACTGTTACTCCATGCGTACTTTTTGTTATTGCTGAAAGAATAAAACAAGAAGACATGAGCATGTGCAATTCAATTCAATTCAATTCAAAAGTACTTTATTAATCCCAGAGGGAAACTGATTAAGCATATACATTTTAAGGAAAGTTGTTTATGTATAATTTGCAGTTTGCTTGTAATACTGTTTATTTTTGAATGAATGAAATAAAAAAAAGGCAAAAAAAAAATAATAAAAGTTTTTGATTTATATGTTTAAACTGGATGTGTTGTCCTGGGTTGTTGGTTCCAAACCATCGGTGCTTCTAAGCAGCATCATTCTCTGCCTCCCTGTTTGCTTCCTCTGATCGCCGGTGACAACGCACACCTGTCTCTCATTAAGCACTCAGCTCACCTGTTTCTCTTCTGTAATCCCATCTCAGTGATCGAGCTCCTTGGTTCACACCTTCAGCGGTTGGGTTCCTAGTCAGCATCTCCCCGAGGCTTCCGTGTTGTTTCCAGAGGTTTACTAAATATGACTTTAATTCACCTAAATCACTGCTTTCCAACAATCAGAGTGTCTAATTGTGACACAACCTTTGGCATCTTGAGTTAGGCAAATCTCTGTGGGGCCAACATGAAAACCACAGACAAACCCTGTTGGCACCCGTGTAGTTAGCCCATCTAGAGCCCACCTATGCTGGCTGGGCTCTTGTTCTTCTTTTAAAATTATTTGTAATCATTTTTCATGTTTCTCTGTGCTGTCTCATCATTAGAGACATGTTTTCATTCATGTGTGAAAGTCCAGTTTAACAATGAGACATTTAACCTGCAGAAAACATTAAACGTGCTTTAAATTTAAAAAGTCATTCAGAAACGGGCTGACATTCTGGTAAAGCACAAACTGAAACAAGGGGATAAAAACAATCAATCAGTCAATCAAAGCTTTATTTATAAAGCGCCTTCCGCAACCCTGTCAGGAAGCCCAAAGCGCTGAACATGGTTCAGTAGAAGGTAAATATATTGAATAAATAAAAAATAAAAGCAATTCAAATTACAAAATAGGTGAAACATTCTGGTCCAGGACAAATGTGTAAAACAAGGGATAAAGTGAACCAATGAAAACTGTGACATAAATTCAACATAAAAGAGGGCCAAAATCCAACATGTTCTGGAAACGCCAAGCGGTAACAACACAAACAAGTAACTGACCGACGTAAGACCAAAACGATGCCACATGGACCACCTGCTTTTCTTTTGGGCTCCATGATGCAACAGAGGAATAACGTTGCTTCAAAAGATGACAGATGGAGACACTCCTCCATTCAAACACAGTTTAGCGCTTCAGTGACGGGCGAAACAGCAACGGCATCGGTCACATGACTACTTCTTATTAACAAATGTTAGTCATTTCAATCGGGATGGGTCTATAATGTGAAATTAGTATTTCAGAAATGACAGAAAAGACACAGTTTAAGGTCTTGACAATGGTTTTGATCCATTTCTTGAATTTTGAGCATTTAAATGTCTTTGTCAGAGATTTCTGCATCATGTGATGTCAGCCGAAGTGCCTACCCAAACCAGACAGCATTATATAAATTCATTCTGCTCAAATACTGAATTAGATGGTGTGTTTTTCCTCTTTTCAGCCACGTGTGTCCTTAAACACAGCGTCTGCAGTGGGAATGTGCAACGACCTCCTCAGAGGCATCCATCAGCTTTTTGCTTCATTACAACACGGCAAATTAATTCTCAATATAATTGATCACATTTTTTCCTATCAAGCCCATTAACTTTCACCCTGAGGCCAGACCAAAACAGAAGCAGCAAACTCTTGCTGTTTCAAACACCGCCGAAAATTAAAGATAGTGCCATTAATCACTCTGCATACGAATCCTAAACCTACAAGTGCAGAACGACACCGCTAAACTCCACCTGCTCCTGTGAAATGTGAAATACATTGACATTCTTATACTCAGAAATGGGTGAGGTAACAAACCCTTCCATCTTTTAAAAATGTCACATGCCATCGCAATATTTTGTGTCCCTTTCTGTCTGCTTCAGCTTCAGCTTCATCTCTTTCCTTCCAGCCTCTCATGTTTGCTCAAACACATCCTCAGTGAAACTTTCCCGTCTCCATGTGCGACACATCTGCATTGCAGCACCCACCGGGAGGCAGCAGCTGGAAGAAGAGATGCAGTGAAACTGAAAACCTGACCACTCTTTTACCCGAATCGTTGATATAAAACACAGTTTGATGCTCGTCCTGATGTGTGGCGTTAGATTTGCTCCTTTGTTTATTCTTGCCTTTGACATAAAAAATAAATGCCAATTCAAACGTTCAAACATCTAATAGAAACACGACCATTTGCACCTCAAAGTGCTGTCACGGGAAAATCACAGAGAGGGTCATCTGCCTCCTCCTCCCTGCGTGCCTCTGAGCCACGCTGTTATTAATGGCGTCATCATTTTTCTTCTGCTCACTCTATTTCCTTTCTGATAGCGGGGCCTGCTTCGTCGTGTTCTGTCATGTTTCTGTAATTGCTCCAACAGCCTGCCTTATGCTGAGCATATAGTGTGTGTGTGTGTGTGTGTGTGTGTGTGTGTGTGTGTGTGTGTGTGTGTGTGTTCCTCGTTCTCCCCACCGAGGCCGGCTGTGAGTTTGTGGGGCAGAACCAAGCTGCGGGCGAGCTCCACACAGAGCGAAATGACAGCCTCCAGGCCACCGTTGGTTGATGACCGTGAAAACACTCGCGGTTAACATAAAGTGAGCGACCGGCTGTCACAGTGAGGCGCCGCGGCTCTGCTCGGCCCTGACGACAGCACAACGAGCTGCTCTACAACCCAACTCTGCAGTGATGCCACAAACCAAACAGGCTCTAATAATTCAGAGCGTTGTTTGTCTCCAACGCCTGAAAAAGCAAAGAGGTGGAAGAGCAGGAGCCACGGCTGCGTGTCAGAGCGTTTGTGGGTAAATGGTTTCTCAGCTCTGGAGGGAAGGACGAGCAGCTGAAGGCGGTTGGTGAGGGAAGACAGCAACGCCAGTGTGCAGGAGAGAAGACTGTCACAGGTGCCAGCCAGGGTCAGATAAAGTGAGGAGTAAGTGCTTAGAGAGCTGCAGGGGCAGAGGCCAGCCGTGTGGAGGAGGTGTAAAAAGTTGAGCGACCAAGCATGAGCACCACCTCCACCCATCATTAAATGAAGCCTCTTAAAGGGAATCGCCTCCACTCAGAAAGGTCGATGCATGGCACTTCTGAGGGTTTTATCTGGTGTTAGGAGCGTTTGATCATCTTTTTGTCGGACGGGTAGATAGCATGCTGCGTTTGATTTGCTCGGTCTCTATCACGTTCCCACAAGCTAACGTGTTCCTTAAGTGAAGCTGAAAAACACTAAATGATGCATCAGCTTTTGGCCAGAAGGACGGATAATTACAGAACATTTTAACCTCTCTGTGGCTGAATGAGAGTTGTTTCTACCCCCTGCCCTCCCAGACTCCAGTCCTGCCCGACATGCACGCGTGTGCACCGACGTAAACACGGTTTATTATGCAGTGACATTACCAGATCCCCTCAGGCAGCTGTGCATCTCTGTCTGACTGATGAGGGTAATTTCTCCCAAACAACAGAATGATCACTTTAGTGCGACAGACACTCCCTCCACCCCCCGTCTCCCCCTCTCCCTCCCGCCTTCCCTTTAGCTTACAAAAAAGGCAAGACGAAGACAGGCATTTGTTACCGTGTCTCCTGCGGAGCCTGAAACGTTCCCGGAGATAAATAGTGCTGCCACCTCGCACAGATGCATTAAAAACAAAAGTTAATCATTCAACCTGATCCAGCCAATCTACTCATCCTCTGGATGGGAATCACATTCAGTCCCTGCTAATAAACCTTAGATTTTAGATATGGGCTCAGGAGCGTTTCCTTATTTTTTCCTTGATTACCATAGGGAGCCAATATAATACACATGCCAGTGTGAATTAGCCTCATATTAGGAACTGAGAGACCCACAGTGAGTTTAAACCATGTATGCGCTGCCGTGCACCGTGGGATCCACAGAGCTGAGAGTAGTTAGGACTTGTCTGCCTCTCTCTCTTGGCCTTATAGTTTCAGCCTCAGTGGGCTGTCTTTACCCATTCTTCAATCTGTCAGTCACACACACAAACAAATCCACCTGTCCACCAGGAGTCTGAGCTGAACAGGGCGATGCCACAGCTGTCTGGGCCCGGCTCGGTGCAGCGGGGTGCGAGCCAGCGCCCTCCGCTGGTGACAGAAATCCCATTAGGAGGCTTATTACCCCACCTGTCACCCCATCATCTCACGTGCGCCCACGAGCCAGGTAATGAAGACGGTTACCACTACAGCACGTTGGACACGGAAGTCGTGCTTCTGTGCGTTTTGTGGTGCTCGTGTCCTTGATCACAAGGGCTCTCTGGGCTTGTAACTATATACCAACCCAGGCGTGAAGAGGCAGACACCCTTCCCGCACCACTTGATTGCTCCAACAATGAAGCTATTAATGCTGCCGTATGAAAATTGGAATGGTCACAAACATCTAACGAGATAAAGGCTAAGTACAGAGCAGTTTAATGCTGCTGACTTTCAGCAGCCCTTTGAAGGATGTTTTCAATTATAACCCAGCTAATTTAATTCATTGTTTCGTGGCTGAAAATGCATTTGTAAAGCTTGGCTGAGTCTCTATTTCAGAGCTCAGGTTTAATCAGTCATGTGCATTTAGCGCTGGAATGTCCTCTACAGAGATTGACAAAGTTGCCGGGGATCTGCATTGTAGGGTTTAAAGGGACGCAGTGGCTTTAGCCTTCTCTCCTTTATTTTCTCACATGGCAGGTTTCGGTCGTGGAGGGGAGGGGGCGTTCGTCTGAAAGATGAAAGGACCTGCGCCTTTAAGAGGGCTGTCTCCCCTTTTCCTCTCGCTCCCCCTCAACCATACAGACACTCCTCCTGTGAGCATTTGTGAGGCGGCTCCTGTCCCTTATGTCTCTTCGTGGAGAACAGAGCCGACTTCCCAGAGCATCACTGAAGACGAGCTGGGACTCCAGGGACGACGGCCCAGTTGCAGACCTCCGCCTCAGCTGCAGCCGATGCCAAAGCGGGCGCGTGGAAAGGCGAGACTCGCCAACTTATGCTGGAGTTAAATAAAAAATCCAAAGTCAAGGGGAGGTGGAACTTAACCGAACTCTTCAAGAGGTCAACTGTAGACGAAAGTCGAGATGATCAGCAGGTGAGAGTCAACAAGGCTGGGCTGGAGCGTTGAGAAAAGGTGGTGTTTTAATACAAGATTTCAGTTTTTCTTTCAAAGTTTGAGTAACTCTGCAAAAGTGATTCAGTTTGTGTGCAGCTGTTTAGAGAAAATTACAACACGGGTACATCAAAAAGGAGTTGATTTAACTTTGCATTTTTCTTCTCTTCTCTTTCTGAAACAACCCCAGAACACGTTCTGAACAGCCAGTGGTGTGAAAATGGGATGCTCTTTAAAGAACATCTTGAAAGCCCCGAGAGTACTTTTAATTCACCAGCCAAGCGTTTATCTTATTTCTCCAGCTTCCTCTGAGAGCGAACTTTAAAGACTTCGCTGTGCTTGGGGAGTGAGCAATAATTCTTATATGAAGACCTGAAACTTTGCAGCTGTTTACTGGAGGGAGAGAGATGTGCCAAATGCATGAGGAGATCATGGCATGTTGTTTTTTCACGTGGGGGAAGCGTGTGTCAGGACTAACAACACGGTAAAGCACCGAGTTCTGCAGCAATGTTTACAGGGTGTGGTGTGGTCAACGGCCAGAACCACTGCCTGACCAGTAACACCATAAAGCCTCAACCAGGACTAGAGGTAAACAGACCAATTCAATGTGGAAATGGAGTAAACCAAGGGATGTGCCCGACCTACCCGGGTCACACGTACACAAACACTGTAACACAACCGCCGGTGTTTAACGGCGTCTCTAACCTCCTTAAGCCTGCCCCTCTGCCGGTATCGCCTCCAGCTGTTAAACTAGGGCAGGAAGGATTCAAAAAAGTTTGTCGCACTGAGGAGGAGAGCCCCTGCCCCTTCCCAGGTCTTCCTTCTGGGGTGCTGGAGATGCGCGTGAAGGAGGGAAGCAAGATCCGCAACTTAATGGGATTTGCCATGGCACGGATGCAGGGAGAGAAGGCTGGAAGCGGGGAAGGCGCGAGCAGCGCCGGACTAAGGCAGGTGGTCTTTACTGGGTCAGGCCGTGCAGTCACTAAAACCATCACCTGTGCCGAGATCATGAAACGAAAAGTGGGCTGCCTGCACCAGCTGACCAAGCTGCAGTACAAGGTGGTGAAAGAGGTGTGGGAGAGCGACCAGGGCGGAGCGTCTGAGATGACCGTGCACAGGGACTGTACCGTCCATCAGCATCCTTCTCTCCAAAGACCCCCTGGATCCACGGGAGCCAGGCTACCAGCCTCAGAGGCTCTCAGTGCATTATGGGAGGACAAAGACGGCGCTGAACCTGCAGCACCAACATGCAAGAGACCTCATGTGGCTGCATCACACAGCAGCTTCCTCCAGCCCAAGAGGCTGTGTTGGGAGAGGGAGTCTCGGTCCTCCCTCCGCACTGACTGGCCAAACCGTGTCACAGTGGAGAGGACTGAATGAGCAAAGTTCATGTTGCCGCTGCACTCCACTCCGGCACAATGCTGAGACAATCAGAACATTCGCTCAGTCAGAACAGTGGTTTCTTAGAGGAACCGATACCAACTAAAGCCCGCAGAGGTCAGTTTGACAACTTTCATCTGTACAGAAAGCATCTTCGGGACACTTTTCATTCCTTCCACAAAACTGTGATGACCTGCTCTGCTGTTTTTATGCCACAGTGGGCTGATTTCCCACCTCTACGACCAAAAAGAAGAAAAAAGAAAAAGAGCCATAAATCGTGCAGATTCCAAAACACTCACTCAACAACCCGCGTGGAGAAGGTCACTCACTGGTGTGACTTTACGATTATCTATACTCATGAATGCTTCAAATTAAAGGTCTTCTGACGACGAAACACAGACTAAAGAACTAAA